CTTAGTGGAGACCTCATAGAAAGCGGCTCTGAGGAAGGCGAAATCCGCCGAAACGTCAGCTCATTCGTGAATAAAGAATAATAACACCTCGCGTTTGCTCAACAAAAATACGAAGAAAGCATTAACTCGGTTATCCCCAAGAATGCAAGAAGAGTCAACTTGACCAGCATTTTATAACATCCGAAAGGATAAAATCCTCACGTAGAAGCCCAAACAACATCTGAAAAGTTATAAATTCTTTATGGGCGATGTACGCCAGGAAAATTAATAAAATCAAAGAAGTTGTGGGATCCGACAGTAGATGTCATGAAGGACTATCCAATAAATAAAGCTTTTCTGAACAAAAAATGAACTTTTTCTTACACCACTCGTTATCACATCTTTTATGCGGAGTCCCAGTACTTCATGCATTCGATTCGTTTTTCTCGCATTCATCAACCACAATGGTCTTCGGACATCTTGTCTTCTTCATGAATGTCGTGGAATGCTTAACGAGTCGATTCTCCTTGCAGTCTTGAGATTGCCGGTCAAAGGCGTTCTCACGGATGACAGCGCTGGGGAGACGTCGAACTTGTACCTTTGGTTTCTGCTCGACGGAATCACTAATCACTGCGCTAGGCCATCTTACCCCACCTTTCCTCTTCCCAATAAAAATGCATAAATAAATAAAATAAACACAAGTAAAAGTAGTCGAACCTTATTAAAACAGCACCTATTAATAAAATATACAAGACCATATGCTCTTAAAAAACAACTTCAATTGTACATTAGAAATAGACGTGCATGAATAAATTTCAACACATAAGACTCCAACTAATGAATCAGATGCGAACCACAACACGTAGGGTCCGAGCGAACACCTGTCGTATTTACATGTGGCTTCACCCTCTAGCAAAGCTACTGCCGCTCTTTGGGCTTTGATATTCACTTTAGAAAAACCAGAAACACCTCGACTGCAGAAAGACAATCATGTGCACTTTAATGCGATTTTATGTCACAAGATTTAACATACGGTCAGCTCTGCGTCAATAAGGTAAGAAAATAGAAAGTATTCTGATAGTTATGGCTCGTAAGAACCTAAAGGGAAATAGTTGTTTCGCTATCGCCATAGTTATCTAAGGAAATATCTATCTACCCAAGAGAAGTAATAGATACCTAAGAGAAATAGAAGTGTAGGAATAGAAGGAATAGAGATATGGAAGTTGACCGCAAACAGCGTTCTGTTAGGTGTTAAAACTAGGATTTCAGAACAATTACAACGTTATTAAACTGGACAATTAAAAATGAAAAAATTGGAGAATGGTCCTGCTATAAACAACCCGAAACAATTTCGGTAGTGTTTCTGAATGGTCGAAACAAAGCGAATTATCAATAGAACCGTATTTATGTAAATTATGTTGTGATGAAATCCAAATCAATACATTAATGGCCATTGGGTTAAATAGAAAGCGTCACTTGAAAGAAATGAAATGGTTAGACTACCAACCTAAATCATCCAGTTTTGCAAGATGAGGGTATTTGGAAGCGAATACGTCAATCTGCAGCATCCCATGCAGTTGTGAAACTGTCAAATGCGGTGCTCTGGCTACAGCATCAAAATCCAATGGCGATGTCGCAGGAAGAACTCTCGATGAACCCACAGCATCATCGGGTGACAAACTGCGTTCATCCACAACACCAACTAAAACAAAGTTAGTATCAAGGATGACTAACTTAGTGTGAAAAACATAAACGTTAATAAAGTTGGACGACGACATGGAGTTATGGTTGTTTATGCTTGATTTAGCGCGTTCGACAATATGGTTAAAAAAAAGGATAAAAGGAAAGCTCTAAGAGTTGACCAATCCCTGAGGGATGCGCCATGCATACTTCATCCAGAATCGTTGAAGGTGACTGAATGCATATTTAGCTTTTACAGCGACTCGCGGTGGCCTACCGATGTATCCAACCAGTGCTGCTCTCCTCCCGGACAAGTGTGCGCCATGGGCGCGGGGATCGGTTCTGTGCGTATTGGAGACCGCCTTCGACCACTGCGCCACACACGCCCCACGACAATGTGGTACAACAATGAAACTACTGTAAACATATGAAACATATGAGTAACCAAGATTGACTCTGATGTATAAAAATTAGCATACTTAACACGTCTCGTGCATTATTCTCAACTAAAATTAGGAAAGCACACGTTAGTTCTCATGACGTCCCTAGTTTATCACATGACAAATAACATCTAGCAGCAAGTATCTAAAGCAGAAAACCCGTTTCCATTCATAATTTAGCCCTTCATCGAACCTGTATCCTCAGGACCCGCCTCCATCTTCTAGTTCACAAGTGTGGATCCTAACATATTGATGAAGTCATTTCGTGACCTTACACAGCTAAATACACTTGATAACCCACACTACGAACCCCAAAAAACATGCTAACAGGAACTGTAGCGCCATATATAGCCGGCAAAATAGCGTAATTTTAACTGGATAAACATAAATGAGAATAAACGTGTCAGCATATCATCTTTCCCTTTCCCAATTTGTTTTCTAAATGAGCTTAACGTAGCACTCGCCAAGAAAAAAGCCAAAGAATTTCACAGAGACCTATCAATGAACGCAACTTCTCAAAGGCTTCATTTCCACAAAACTTCCTTTAAAAATGCTTATTTTCTTAATATTCCGCGACAGATCGAGCTTACCAGCAATTACCACTAGGCTATCGGCAACTAAAGCCCTTAGAGAGTTCAAGAGTTCACGAAAATACAGGATAGACGTTAGTTTGTTGACCTAAGATAAACACAACTTTCTTATTGCGTTACTATACCCGTTAATTTAGTTAAGGCTTGAAACATGAAAAGATCAGGCACACGACCCAAATTTCTAGAAATTTGAACGCTAGCACGGAGATCTTTGAAATTGACGACTCGATTTTAAACTGTTCTGCTAAACGAAATCCTGCTTTTTCAAGCCCTTTATTGTTCGCAGTACTAACCTTTATGGAAAAACTAGGACGAAATGATTTGTGAGGTCCATGAATCAGAATCCCATCATGGGATAGTAAAAAGCGTGTACTTTGACATCAATATGTTTACACTAGAAGTTTTCATTTCAATGAACAAAATTTACCACGAGATGATATGTGATTCTTCAAACCTAAAAGTTCAAATTGCATCCGAACAAGTGCGCATTGAAATCAATGCACATGGCCGTAATCTTGGTCTGGTATTGATGGATAATCAAAACATCTTGTCAAATTGATGGACATTAAAAAGAAACTTTAAAATAAGGTCGACACTTTTTTATTAGAACCTCAGGATAATAGATGAGCAGAAGCTGCGACTGGATATCTGCCGGAACAGACTTTGAATGTCAAGTGACTAATAGAACGAAGCGACGAACAAAAACAATGCACTAAGTTCTTTTCCAATGAGGAGAGCATGTCATAAATAAAGCATAAGAAAAAAAACAACACCTTGCTCAGTTGGTGCTGGTGTATTTCCCTCCAAGCCCTCACGTTTCCGGCCTAAATAAGAACCAGGACGTCGGAAGATTCCTGAAACAAGGTTGTGAGTAAGTTGATCATGTGCCTTAGAAAATCCTGGCGATACTAACATATACTGACGAATGACGAAAACGAAATGAACTCATGGGTGGTCAAAAATAACAAAACTTCTCATCAGTAGATAAACTTAACTCATCTCATAGTGAACTTCAAAGACTGGAATAGAAGTTGACATAATCAAGAACCACTTATAAAAAACCCCAAGCCTTCTCACTTCAACTTTATCAATTTTTGATATTCTGGGAGCCTCTAAGCAAATGCTTTGGCTTACTGATAAGTCTTACACAAGGTTAGTACAAATTCCGTAAACTAATCAGCAAATAATGACATTGATATCCATGGCAAGACGACGGAGTGGAATCCGGTATTAGAAATATATCATAGAACTTTCAACTGCAATGATGCTGAGATATTTGCAAAACTCCGGACCACAGCTGTGTGCGGTGGGGATCGAACCTTGTTATACGTATTGTAGTTGTACTTCACAACAAACCCTGCCGTGAAAAAAGATTAGGCAGCAAATAAAAAGTGATTACAGAAGTTTCATTTCGTGCTCTTCTTCGCCAAGGATCGTACTTGGAACAGTAAAGCTAATCGTATATTGTAAGGAAAATTTATACCTGTTAGAGGACGCTTCAGAGCATCCGCAGCTCCTTCTTTAAATCCTTTTATAGGTGTTTCCTGAAAATTAATTCGCTCAAAGTGAGGTTAAAACTCATTCAAACTTATTTTCCTAATTTTAGATGACCCAACATCACAGATAGTGTGCGGACACCTGTATTCCTACCACTGGATTCATTTCATTACATCTATCGTTCATGCTGGCCTTTGGATTTGCGTATGGCTTCGCCCGTTTCAAGAGGACTTTTGGTTTTTGGTTTGGATTTTCAGGAATGTCTTTAAGTGCCGATCGAGTGGATCCTCTCTGGACTCCAACGTAAGCCGTTCTATGGCTTTTCCACACTTCGTCATAGATACCTTCTAGCTCTTGCAGATTGGAGCTCTCACAGAACTCATCACAGATAAGTCAGGCACAAATTTTCCAAGCTAAAAAAAAAAGATGGACCTAGGTTGCCACGAAATGGGGTTGAATCAAGGCTTTGTGCGTATTAACCTCCATGTCGAACATTACTACTTGCAGAATTAAAATCAGCCATCATGACAAACGAACTTTTAAAAATAATCCCATACGGTTTCTCTTTCCAATGGCCGTTACGTCATCACCCGCACGGTCTTTGACACGTATGTTCAGTTCGGACGCATCTAAACATGTTTATAACAAGCGATAACAAGTGATACTAACAACCAGTGAGTATGAAAGGAGCTCAAAAAGTGTGAGAAGTCATTCCACCAATAAGGAACAGATAGCCATTCCCACTGAATCCGTGGGTCTTGGGAATTCTAGGTATGTTATGGGAAAGTCGTGTAGAATAACAGGACCCATAGAACTCAAATTACTGGTAACACCTAACTGCCCATTACTTGATTTGCTTTAAACGAATATGCGAACGAAAAAAAACCACGATAGCCCACCCGAATCATCGAAACCATCACCAATTGGGGCGTTCTTTCGTTCCTGGACCGGTTTTTTCCTGCTGAATCCCGAGTTCATTCCACCGATCTCTTTAACCTCTTCGCTGAAATCGATACTCAATAAATTGGTATTGGAGCACGCTATTTACTGCAGTAGTGCCAACCACTTCGGCCTACAGAATCTCCAGCTGGACGTACCTTTCCACATAAGCTTCCCTGTAACCCAGCAGTACGCAACAGCACAGAAGTCTCAAATCTGCACCCATGCGGGAACATATGCGTTGCGCAGGACCTACTCTGATAGATCACCCTCTATGAATGACTACTGGTCGGGATTTCTCGTTACACGTTAGTTTTTAGCCGCCTATTCTGCCCAACAACATGTCCACAAACTCACCAAATCTACACCATTGTGATTCAAGAAGACGAAAAATAGACTCCCGGATGACGTCACGGTACTTCAGGCGGTAGCAGGTATCGAAAATCGGCGGTGAACCGCGCGCGTATCACGAGGGACGCGAGCGGTTCAACGGGCGGAGTGCAAGGCGTGTCTCGCCAATCACGTCAGAGCGGCAATTCGGCTAACGAATAGCGTACAATGGGAGGCGGTACCCTGTATATAAGGCGGCCACCGCGCGCGCGTAGTCAGACGACGCCTGGTGAGGCCGTGAGCTGGATGGTGGCGTGTGCTGCTGTGGCCACTCATCCTCCGATCTCGCTGGCAGTGCCCATGACATCTTGCGCACTGACCGTTGAGCAACTGAAGCAGCATCTCCTCGCCGCCGTCGAAAATGTAAGCGAGGATCAGATTTGTTGTCAAATTGGGGCTAGTGTAACTTATTTACACTGGTCTGTTGGACGAGGAGGACCCGAAAGACCACCCACCGCGACTAGTCTGTTAATAAGAACATTTGCACGTGTTCAATGTTCTACATTTTGTTAGTTCTTTTGTTGAATTCTATTGGTTAAAATTTATTTCTATCTGCACAAGGCACATAGCAGCATGTAGTGGCTGTCAACCTGTTTCAGGGGAAGAGTGAAGTGGCTTGCGACGTACTGTCGGAGCTTGAGAAGTCCTCGATCACAAAGGAGATTCTCGAGGTAATCACCACAGCTAGGCCCGGCCGCCGCCGCCCGCTCTGGCCGCTCCGGGCCGTCGCCACCCGCCACGGCCCCGGCTCGGCCGGACTGACGGGGCGTGCTGCCCGGCCGTGCGTCCTGCGTCTCTGTCGTTCTCTAGCCGCCTGGTCTCTTCTTATCGATCGCACTCCTAAGTGTTGGCTAGGGTCCCAGCGGCGCGCCGCTTTGGCCCGAGCGTTGCGTGTTTCTCGTGTATTAGATGCGAATGAGAGTAGTTGAACACTTCTGGTGTTAAGGGCTGTAGTTGTTAAAGTTTCTGAGCTGGAAAGTTAGAAGAGCGAATAGGTATTGACCCATATTTCTGTTATGCTCGTAGTTTCTACAGTAGTAGCTCTTTTAGTAATAGTTTATTTCGTAGATAGTAATGGTAGTAGTAACTTTTACTATGTTAATAGTAAGCTAACTGTGTTAGAAATAGTAAACAACTTTTTTGAGGTCAGCTGCGGCTAGCGTTTGGTTGAACAAAGAGTTAACGTGCTCGTAAAATGTTTCTTGTGTTGTTTAACGTCTTTGTGCTTCGACTTTTCTCTTTTATTTTGGTTTGTTTTGATACTTATGGGATATTTTAGTCTACGCGCATAGGAGCAACAGTTAATGAGGTCCGGAAGAAGACTGCGGAAACATTCCCCGTTGTCTCAAAGCGATGTCGTGCACTGATAAAAGCATGGCAGAAGCTAGTGGAGGTTGGTATTCACATCTTTATTGATGTTGAAAGTAACGTTGTATACTAAGTTTGTGTTGGTTTAGGTTCGTTCAGTGTCAAGTGCGACATCTTCTGCTAACGGGACTCCGAATTTAGTCTCTCCGAGCCTTGCGAAGCTCTCACGGAGGGTTACACCGTGTACGCCGATAAATCGGAGAGTCAGTTCCACTGGTCTTACAGGTGTGGTTATTTCTACATCCTACTGACGTGTGAGAATTGTGAGCTGTGAGCTATGTTGCAGGAAGTGCAGCAAGCAGTGCGACAGTATCTCCTGCGAATGGTAGTTATGCACCCAAGCAGCTAACATCGCCTAGCAATGGAGTGATACATAAGACGCAGTCTGTGGGTACTGAAGTTATCCAACGTGGGGAGGATCCTCGAAATGGTAAACGGAAGTTGGACGATGGGAATTGTAAGCTCGCTTATGGTGCAGCTAGTATTTAAAATTATTTTAAAGCTTCAGCAAACGCGATGACCACATCTTCGGGAATGAGGCGTACTAAAACCGCAATTGGATCTTTGGTGTCTCCGGTTACACCGACTGTTTCCGTGCTTGCTGCAAGAAAAGCGGTTCAGAGCACGAAAGACTTGGTTGGTTTTCTAATCAAGTTTACGTGTTTTCGTCTAGATCATCTTGTTCTATTAATATGGTGCAATAAAGCATTTTGTACTATCCATGATATAATTGGAGAGTTCGGAACAGTGGTGGGACCTACATAATTGATAAACTTCGGAAAATGAAATTGACTGGTTTCTACCCATGGATTTATGAGTGCTAACTCTAGGAGACCTTTGGATGCATTGAAAAACAATAAAATGTGATAAACTGGTTCTGTTCTGTATCATACCGACTTACCATTGTGTACACAAGCAAGTGTTATTTTCTTGGGTCATTGAGCTGAGGCAGTTTCGAGTTTTTAAGACAGCTGTTCTACTCAGTTGTATCCTTTGTTTCATAATCAGATAGTCAGTCATTGATTAGATTTTAAAGAAGTGTAAATAACAAACTGGGATCACTGAGTCGTTGATTAGATATAAAACTGAAGTTCATTACTAGTTAGCGTGATAGGTGGTTATGGAAGGATACGACATTTACACACGTACTGGATGTGACATGAGTGGTGATTTGAGAAAGTAGAGTGGGGACGTTGTTTTGAGCAAGGTACGAATTTATGGAGTGCGTGATGAGATTATTGCTATTATCTCTGAAATCACTGAATAAAATGAGTATTCAGTTGTTGGGGAGGTATGCTCTAACAGATTCAATGGGTTATAAGCCTTGGTGCGGTGTTGAGGTCTCTACTAAGCTTATCTGGAGCTGGGTGGGGATTCATCTGTTACTGGGGAAGCATTTAATAAATTTGTGGGGAGTGTTGACGTACTGAGAGCTAGATGTACAGTTCTTGAGGCATAAACCCAAACAAAGTAGGTATTGTGACAGTTTGTTTTGTCAACGAAGCCGATCAAACCATGGCTAGTGGTAGTGGTGAACAGGCTAGTCATCCACACAGTGGCAATGTGGACCAGATTGCTCCTTTGTTCTAGGTTGCGGAACTGAGTCAGAATTTACCAGAGCACATGAGCATCGACTCTTCTATAAGAGAGCACGAAGAGAGGGTAAAACGCGAGCAACAGGATGAAGAGGTTGGCTGGCCCTGCTTTTTTTCTTTTTCATCGGTGTCTTAACGAGAATATACTGTGGGGTTTTCTTATAATTCGTCAATTGTAGTACGCGATGCAATTGTACGGTGGAGCATCAGCAAGTGCCCCACATGCTCAACCAGAAAGGAAGAAACGGAAATACGAACGGAAGTTGAAGCCTCAAGAATCGCCAGTTGATTCTACCCCAGGTGTGTTCTAACTGCTCCTTTCTCAAATACTTTACTAGAAGCGAATCAATCAAACGGAAGGTAATCACTTAAAAATAACTCAGGGTATTTAGTGTCGTCTGGTTCTTGTCGCCTAATTATTCGGCTGCCACGGGTTGCTCCGGTCAAGGAGGAACCGGATAATGTAAGTATAGTGACAGTTTCCTCCACACATTTGTAAGTGTTTTATTTCTAGGAAGTAGACCATAATTCCTGTCCCATGCTTGGAGCAACTTTTTCGCGTCCTGAAAGTTCGGTAGCTGGTGATACTGTGAATCAAAGTGACGGCAAAATAGATTGGTTAGCAATGTTGCCATCCATGGAGGAGTTGCAGGCCAAAGTCAACGATATGAAAGCAGAAGACGAGAACAGAAAGCAAGCACAACACCATCCCACAAAGGTGGAGCTCCTCACTACAGTGTTAATCGCAGTCTGTGAGTTTTATGTCAGGGTAAGCTTTTATAGGCCTATCTTATCCGTGTGCGAGACCGTAACGTGCTTGCCCTTCCATACTTGGATGTGCCAACTGTACCCGATTTCATTCAATACAGGTCTGTTGGTCTTTCTTCTGTCAAGGGG